GTTAAATCCAATACATGTACCATGATGCACCTCGTCAACTAATCCAATACCATAATGCACCTCGTCAAATCCAATACCATGATGCACTTTGTTAAATCCAATACATGTACCATGATGCACCTCGTCAACTAATCCAATACCATGATGCACTTTTTTTAAATCCAATACCATGATGCACCTCGTCAAATAATCCAATACATGTACCATGATGCACCTCGTTAACTAATCCAATGCCATAATGCACCTCATTAAATCCAATACCATGATGCACCTCATTAAATCCAATACCATGATGCACCTCGTCAAATCCAATACCATGATGCACTTTTTTAAATCCAATACCATGATGCACCTCGTCAAATATAATACCATGATGAACTTCGCCTAATTCACGTGACATCATAAGGACTGAGTCTGATAAACTAATATCTCGCTTTTTTTCCAGACGTTGCAATACAACTATGTCTATGTACTCCATTATCCCGAGTACGACAGTCTTGAAACATTAACAGAGCATATGCCTCCTGGTAGAACTATCAAGAAAGCTGTGTCTCCGATAGCGATCTTTGTTTCCAAACCAAGGAATTACGGACCTAACAAGCTAGTCCCAATTGCAATACAAATGGGGCACACTCAGGGTAAATCGGCAACTGCTTGCATTGCACCACTTGGCAAGTGCACATGATACTCCAGTTTCGAGTTCTCTTTTGTGCAATCTTAGCTTCAATCAAACATAAATTTTATTGTCTTCGTTATACACAGAGTCATTGCATTACAATAGAATCCCTGCTGAATAAAAGAATATATATTATCAAGCTTTCGAGGCCAAGACTGCACCAATAAGATCTCGAAACAGGAGTATTATCAAGCTTAGCAAAGGGTCTGAATGGGGGGGGGGGGGGGGTCTCAATGTCGGTAGTCAGTTAAAATTTCAAGCATTTGTCGCTAGTCAGTTAAAATTCTAGGCATTTGTCGGTAGTCGGTTATTTTAAAAAAGTTGATAAACATTAAGTTTAAATGCATCTAAAACGATGCTTTATACCAACAGAATTCTTTCTAAAATGCCAACAATTGAATCCTTGAGTCTTGATTGGTCAATTGGATGCCCCTCAAAGTTTTAGAGTGGCTCATCACAACTT